AGGAAAAATGTCTTTACTGGAAGAGTGGTTAAACATTGGCACAGGCTGCCCAGGGAAGTGGTTGAGGCCCCATCCCTGGAGGTATTTAAAGGACGTGTAGATGAGGCGCTTAGGGACATGGTTTAGTGGGCATGGTGGTGTTGGGTCGATGGTTGGACTCGATGATCTTAGAGGTCTTTTCCAACCTCAATGATTCTATGATTCTACTAGGAAGAAAATTAACTCTATCCCAGCCGAAACCAGGACAGTATTAAAGGTACCAGCTCTGCATGGAAAAGTCTCTGGGCTGGAAATTGCTGTAGATGAGGAGAGATTACCAGGAACATACTACGTTCAAGAGCAGAGTCAATGTAATCTTCCATGGTATCTGTTATTGGCCACTGCTAGAGGCAGGTGCTAATTGTACCTTTTGATCTAATACAGCATGGTTATTTTAACGTTCCTTATTTAGTGGAGAGTGTCAGCAAAAACAGGAACAAAAGAAAAATAAGTAGTCTTGAATTTGGGGCAAAAATACATTCCTTTAGGGAAGGTAGTTCCTAGATTCTGTTCTCACCTGCTGACATCTGTCTGATTAAAAAACAGTGGATACTAGAAGTAAGGCCATTTTGAATAATTGCTGTTGCTTTTCTGATGATGCAGATGGCAGAGGATTGCTGCTTGACAATTGTTGGAAATCTTATAACTCCTGGCTCTAAACTCGGTCTGTCATTTGAGCGGAATGAAGACAAACAATACTGGCATATTAGTCCTGATGGCAGGATTTATAGCAAGATGAAACCCAAGCTGGTTTTAGATATCAAAGGTAAGCAAATGTGTTATCTCATTACATTGTGTCTTAATTACATGGTATTTACAGTGGGATAGGCACTAAACGTGCCTATAAATTAAGGATTGTGTTGTAGTTACTTTAATCTAGAATCAAAAAAGACCCGATGAGCTAGTCTGACCTCCTGAATTATACAGGCCCTAGGACTTAATTTCATTTTTCCTGCAGTTTAGTAACTCACAGTACTTGCTTATCTTGTATTCCCCATTTAAAATGCTGAAGCAAGAAAAATCTAGCTTCTCATTAACTTTAATTTGTACAGAGCAAATTTTCTTATATAGTAGTTGTAGATGCAATAGCCAAAGGGCATTAGGAAAACAAAGGCAGGCTTGTATACTGATGTGATTAGATGCAAAAAATTTCTTCATTTGTTTATTAATGGCTGTACCTTTATTGCAAACATGAGATTCTGCCATGGCAGCCTAAGGTCTCTGCGCACTTGATGCCTGTTTTACAGTCGCTTTTATCACATCAATTTGATTCACGTAGATACTGTTTCTGAACTTTGTTTCCATAGTTTCATAGAAGGTCTGAAAAAGCAACAAATGGAGTGATTAGCAGAATTAGCATAATCAGATATTCTTACATAACTCTGCATTTTCGAGGGGGGGAGTAATCATTTTCTATAGGTGTTAATTTTTTTTAGCTGTTTTAAAATAAATTTTTCATTGATGCTGTGACATTAATTATAGCAATTACAAAAAACAAAACAAAAAAAAAGCAGACTCAACAGTCAGCACTTCAGAACTAAAAAGGACAGGACTATCAGAACTGTGAGAAAAGAGTTATCTAATGTCTGACCATAATACAACACTGGCACAAATAGTCACAAATTTTCTTTACTGCCGTAAAAAGCTAGTGATGATAAGTTTATAATTAATCAAAAAGACTCCAGTTCAAGGGAGAGTCTTTAGTCACAATGACTCTGCATACCTTTTTCTAAAGTCAGTTCCGAGTTGCACCAAACAAGCAGAAATACTATTATGCTGCCTTGTCTTCAGTTAATCATGTTAAAAGCAATTACGTATTCTGCATTTATAATTGAGGAACTTCATAGTGGATAGGTCTGGTGATGAAAGTATAGATGCACTCTTAGTTTACAACAAAGTAAATCTGTACGGTAAATATGAAAGAGCAGGTACGTTTAGCTTTTATTTGAGAAAGCCTAGTAGGAACATCACCTGTTTCTGCCAAATCTGCTGATCCATTCTTGACCACAAATTGAGCATTAATGAATTCTTCAGCAAATGAATGCAGTTGTTCAACTGTGCAGTTACCGATGCCACCTTGTGGATATATTGGCATAGCACAGAGATTGTCCAGAGCGCTGCTCTATCAAAGGAAATAGTCTCTTGTTCCACTGAAGAAAATCCCATCTTTTCCCAGTATAACATATTTACATTCTATCAGACACCACTTACAAAATATTTTTTGCGCTCGCAGTGATAACTGAGCTATGTAGCTAATGCTATTTTTTTGTAGCTGCTGGTTAGGTTTTTTTCCTGTGGGAGTATTTGATCTGGTGTTCCCTTCTTTTTCCCCTCTTTCTAAAGAACTTTGTGAGTATTTCTGCTGTGTGTCTCTACTGCTTTTTAGTAATTGCCTGGTGATGGCAAGGAGAGAAATCATGTTGGTGTTAACCTTCTCAGAGACCTTTCTCATTTGGGACAGTGGCAGCAGAAAGCTTCCCCCAAATTCCTGAAGCAGAGAACAGCTAAGGTGCTTGAGATGGCATTTCTTTAGTACAAAAGAATTGCTCTTAAATGTGCCTGCCCATGCAGGACTCCAGGTGCCTAGAATTTCTGGGATCTGCTAGAATCCATATTTGTTACACTCATCATAAGCTTTCAGCTGCCAGGCTTGTCTTTTGCTCATTCAAGGAGGGTGAGGCTATAGGGGTGCAGAATGAAAGACGGTGTCCGTAGGAGTGTCCTGGTGCTCTGATGGCTGCTTCCAGTGGGAATACTACCTGCTGTTGCAGGTGTGTTGTACTACACGAGATGCACGTGTCCTACACTTCTGCAGTATGTACTAGATCTGAGAAAAAAATGTCAGTTCTGACTTTCCGCTCTAGTCGAATGTTTTCTTTGCTTCCGAGTTTCTTAAGTCAGAATACTAACGGTGCTCTTCTTTGGGAACATGTTTGGCATTGCATCACCTGAGTAAATTAAGCTCCTCTAAGAAAGGGTTATATTTTGCATTCAGGTGTGTTCAGCTGCCAGTGGAAACAGCTGAACGTTGGGGGATATTCTGTGTATGGCGACTTGTGATGCAGCTGGTCAAAATCCAGGATTATAATGGCAAAGAGTAAATGAGTACCAGACCTTGTCCCTGGCGTGGTTATACCCGTATTGTCTGTTAGCAGCAGGACTGATTTCATCATGTAAACATCATCTTTAGGGCAAAGTGACAACTGACAACTGTTGAGGGGAAACTCAACAGCCAAGTTTGACTTTTGGGAAGTGACAGTCTTAAAGGAGCTACACCTGACTGTATTGCAGTGTTTCCTTCCTTTCCCATCCAGGCTGAAAAAGCTGAGGTACTGAACTACTGAAGGGGGCGGAGAGGAGCAGGCAGGCTCCCTTGTTTCAAAATTAATTCCAAAAGCAGGCAGTGATGAAAATGAGTTTATCTTTTCAGTGCCTTGGGGAGAAGAGAAACTGTCTAAACCAGCGCTCTAATTACAGTTGCCCTGAAACCTAGAGTACATGTCTCTTATTTCAAAGATAATCTACACTCTTAAATTTTTCGTTACAGGGGGCGCACAATATGATCGCGACCATGTTGTTGTCAACACAGTCAATGAAGAAAAGTTAACGCAGTGTTGGGAACCGCTAGTTGTATAAACCCAAACAAGCAAAGATGACGTTTGAATTAGCCACTGTTGCAGACACTAGAATTGGCACTGCCATCTCTGAAGGATACAGGATCAACAATAAGAGTTTTGTCTTTTCTTTGCAATTTTAAAAAGAACAAGCAACAGAATGATTTCACCTCTCTAAGATTATTATCCCTATGAAAGCTTGAGTATCTCTCAACCTTTTTTTTTTTTTGTGATGATTATCACAACTCAATGTGAGATAGAGAGTGGTAGTGTGCCTCGGGCTAGAGTGAAAGACTAAAGGTGGGAGAGACCCCATGGAGTTACAGTTGTGTCAGTGAGTAATTAATCCAGAATAGTCAATAAGCATAATTTAAAATTATTTTTAAAAGGTTTATTTTTTAACCGAGAGAAGGGCTAAAAAATAATTAAAGCTTATTTTATAAAGGACAGGAGTGCAGTGTGTACATGGGTATAGCAGCTTGGACCTATGGGCTGTAGTAGAGAGAAATATTCACTACTGGAAATTAATATATTTGTTTCACTGGAACAAACTTACGTTTACTGGAAGTTTAAAGACTGCTAGCACACAGCACACCCAAAGAATTTTAACACGTGGCTTCAAATATAGTTAGTATGCTAATACAGTAAGTCCTAAATTGAGAAAATCTAGAATTTTTTCTTATGTAGAGACGATGTAAATTAGTAGATGTTTGTTAGAAAAAGAGAGGGCTGGCAAAAGGATGCATCAGAATGTGAAGAACTTGCCCGTTTTCTAGGCTGCCTAACTTTTTGAGTTATGGGTATTTTACTTCTTTGCCAAGTCAAATTTTTACCTTTTAAAACAGTTCCAGTAAGTATAGTCTTCCTGAACTCCAAAATCATAGAGAAAACAAGAATTCTTAGGGAAAGTATCACTAAAGATGACTGCAACTAAGCAGTGTGGTTACTAAGTTTTTCAGCCGCTGCCTGTTGGGCTTACTATGGAGAACGCCAGACTCCCAAGTATTTCTGATGTTGGAGAGCAACGTCCGTGGTGGGCTGCTGGCTCCCGGCTGCCGCTGGGCAGAAGTGTCAGGCTGCCCTAGCGAAGGGCATAGCCAAGCCTGGATGTGTGCCCAGTCACAAGGGCTGTGCCTGTTCAAAGTGAGCGTTGCTGGTTTAGTAAAGAGCTTGTGACAAGTAAGACATACTAATGACTGCAGGAGGTTCTTCTGTTGCCCTGCTCTTAACCTGGTTTTGTTAGTTTTCCTTAATAATGTTGGCAAAAAGGTAAAATACAAACAAAAAGTCTTGTGCTATGCTGCTGTGTTTTGTTCTGGCTTAGACCAGTGTTATTACAAGCTGCTCCTAGGAGCATCCAGGCCTTTGTCTTGCATAGTAAGTCTGTTTAACGTTTTCATTACTATTGTATTGCCTCAAAGGATACTGGTGCTTTTATTGTTACCACCCTAGAGGAAGTGCCTTACTAATTTTCCTCCTTTTGTACAGATGTACTGAAGTTTTGTTGCTCTGAAATGTGCTGCTTTTAGTTCTTCATAGAAAATGTGTTGTTACTGGTTCCAAACAGTGGTACTTTGTCATATTGATGTGCTCTTGCTATATATAATATAGCATTTTACAAATAAATTTAAGTTAGGTAACTTTTTATTGAAATTATTTTTAAAAGTAGAAAGCTGACATTTTACGGTTAGTTTTGCCTCTGTCTTGTGTCCTTCCTCTGTCCATAATTCCTCTGCAACAGCTAGCTAGTGAGGAGTGAATACATGGTGTGGAATAGCTGCAGGCTGTGAGGAACAGATGCTTCTGTACAAGCACGTGTTCAGTGCATTTGTACACGGGGCCACAGTTCACATGGCTGCTGCTTCTGTCCCCTGGTGGAAGCACTGCATGACATGGTTTTTCCATCACTGTAGCTGCACCACAGTAAATGTGCAGTTCTCAATTAAAAGCTTACCACTTTCCTTTGATCTGCCTGCATAATTGCAGGGGAAGTCACTCCGTAGCTCGTCTCTGGCAAAATGGTAAGTTTAAAAACAGACCAACAGACACATACCCCTCAAGCATTTCATCGCCACCAGCAGTGATAGGGGCCATGGAAGGAACGGGGTCTCCTGATTACTGACAAAATCATGTCTAGCCTACCTGCGCAAACACTGTAGTCAGCTGAATCTGCCAGGAGTTAGGCAATTAGAATAATTATCAGTTACAGATTGATTTTTGTTCCTTGCTTCTACTCAGATTAGTTATGCCATGAGAGATTTGCCATATCAAGATTAAAGTACCAGTCTCGAGACAGCAACGTGACCACTTAATACAGGAAAAGTTTACAGGTTCTGAGAATGAACTAGATAGAACTAGACTGAGTAATAATATGTATTAATAAAGGTGAACAGAACTAGGAAGGGCCAAGGCAAAAAGGACGGCACAAGTTTCATACGGACAATTAGATGAAAGTGTGCCTCACCATTTCAGGACTTACCTAAAACATCTGGGAAGTAAAAGCTCCACGATCTACAAACTGAAAATGCTGCTGGCTGTCCCTCTTATCCCAAGAGTGAGGGGTGTTCTGCAAAAGTCACAACTACAATCTTAACATGGTTTTCATGTAGAAATACCTAAGGCACATTAGTATTTCTTGTCTGCATATTAACAGTTATTAAGAGGCAGAGTATGAAGGAATCAAAGAGGCTTTTCTAAAACAGGACT